CTCTCCTCTCCTCTCCTCTCCTCTCCTCTCCTCTCCTCTCCTCTTCTCTCCTCGGCCATTTATTTCAGCCCCTCTCTTCACTCTCTGAGTCACTGATGGGTCCTAATCAGCAGCAATTTAATTAATATACATGCCTTTTCAGAGGTTGTTCTTTACTGTAACTTAGCAGTAACTAGGTTTGGTGGGAATGTGAGATCTTTTCCATTTATTAAGGAAGGAAGGGAACTGCTCACTGAGGAAATGTCAGTGTTGGTCCACTGTGCCCTATGGTGCAGTTCAGTGAGGTCAGAAACTTCTGTGTGTTTCGATGGCCAAAATAAATTCTAAAATCTCATGCTTCTCCAAAAACACTTCCAAACACCCTACAGCCATTTCCTGGGAGAAACCAAACCCCACACATGTCCAGGCTCGGCAGTGCCAAGACCTGTGCTTTATCCCTGCAAATCTGGAAACAGCTGTCAGAGCTGGTGTAGAAATGAAAAGGGAAGAGCTCATGCTGTCGTTGTGTCAGGTGTGGCCACTCATCGTGTGGTCCCCTTGGGCACATTAAAAGTGTCACTTAATGTCACTATTGAGCTTCCTTTGCTCAGGGGAGAAAGGTGAATTTCATTGCTTCTCAGGGGAGTAGGGCATTGAAGGGGATGAGGAAGAAACCCCTCCATAGATCTGTTATCTGTACTCAGCACAGTGTGTGACCCCAGCAAACCTGGAGCTGGTCCCCCAGTCTCCCCCATGTGCCTTGGCATATGTTTGACTTCCCCTGAGCACCGTGGAACAAATGCGTGCCAAGTGTCGAGCTAGACTGAGACTTCATCTCTCCCCTGCTAAAGGATTGCAGATCATCCATGGTCCAGCCAAAATCTCCTCCTTTCCCACTGTGCCTTGTCCTTTGGCATCTGAAAGAAAACCCGGCTCTGGAGGTTTGGGGTTGTGTTCCCAAATTCAGAGTCAGCTCACCTCCTGTCGTTGTCGCTACCTGTGCTCTGGTCACCTCCCCAGGCAGGGGCTCTGGGGCTCTGCTGCCCATGGGGACCAGAGCCAGGACACTTCTCCCTGTGCCACAGCAGCCCCATGACAGCAAATCCAGGGAGGATCTGTTCCCCTTGGTCCCTGCAGATGGGGACACGACCTGGCCATGGCAGCAGGGTGCCCACAGGTGGGGAGGGAGGATGGAGCCGCTCGCTGGGCTCCACTCTGAGCTGTTCTCGGTCATCCCCAGGCTGCAGAGGCAGTGGCACCGGCCAGGTGTGCTAATCAGAAATAATATGCAGCTTAGCAGAACTTCTCCATTAAAAGGTTTTGAGAATAATGTCTAAAATGAATGGCTGGGGAGGTGGGGAGGGAGGAGAGCCCTGGAAGACCCCGACTCCAAGCGTGAAGTCACACTGTGCCTAAACCTGGGGCTGGGAATTGGTTGGTTTTTTTTTTTTTTAATTTAAAATTCAAATGTCTGATGTTCTTAACTTGAACAAATGATATTTAAAAAAAATATATCAGGCTCCAACATCTGCAGATTATGATTTGCATTTTGAAATTGGCTGCTTGAATTGAACAAGGATGAATACTGTCACTCTTCTTTCATTCACTCCATTTATTTAATGAAATGCTAGAGGTCAACCCTTTGTCCTTAAATTAGTTACTATAAAAATCTTTTTTTACTTTTCTGCTTGTTATGATGTTTTCTAAGCAGAAAAAAAGGTTGCCATTAATTATGTCTTTGTTGAATATGGATATCTATTCAGAGTTAGTTAAACAGTTTCAAACAAAATTAGCATCGAGCAACTTGAAGGCCAGCTTTAGGTTGGTTATCAAGAATTTTTTGCTAAGAGAATGCTCTCCTGCAAGTGTGCATTATCTAATATATTCAGCTTTCAGTTGCTAATTTTTTTTCCAGATGAAGATGGGCTTAATTGAGGTTGTGCTTTTAAGTTTGTAGAGCTCTTCAGCATCTCATACAAAAGCATCTAGAGGCTTTTCATTTGTCTTGAGTATGTTTTAGATGTACAAATATTATTTACTTTAAACTCCAAATCAAAAGGCATGCTGTAACTATTTTAAATGAAACATTATTCTCAGCTGAAATATATATAAATTCAAAGGAAGGCTTTTTTTCATTATCACTTAATTTATGTGAAAGAGCCACTATTAGCAAATTTTAGGATAATACTGTGGAAGGTTTAGTAGCTGGTCTCAAGCAGGCATTTAGTTGTGTCATTTCCTCATCAGAGACAGAGGCTGTGAGTTAGGGGTGAGACACAGCCCCGGTTTCAGGGGATGCTCAGAGCTGAGAGCCTCTGGAGCGGGGCTTCAGGGATTACACCATGCTCCTTGCCCAGGAGTGCGGGTTTTCGGGAACAGCCCCCCCGGGCGGGTGCCTGTTTCTCTGCTGAGGGGTTCCACTCCCTGCCAGTCCCAGGGCAGCCCAAGGTGGCTTTTGGGGAGTGACAGGGCTGGCTGGTTCCTGAGGTGCCCATGCCAGGGGTGAGATACTGCTGCGGCTGCTCTCTGCCTGCGCCGTGCCCCAGGCACCAGACAAAAAGCCCTTCCTTGCCTCCAGAAATGTTTCTTAACAAACCCTAACAGAGCCAAGCTCCTTGGCGAATCACCCAGGCTCTCTGTGCGTGTGAGGCATCCAGGCTTTCCCGGCTGTGGGGCCTGGGCAGTGTGGAGGGGCCGGGCTGTCAGCAGCCCCGGGTGATCCAGCCCTGAGCCAAACAATAACAGGCTGA